GGGAGTTACACAGGCAAATACAAAATGAAACAAACTACAAAGTCCTCTTCCCTCTATTTCTTTCCTCCGCAACTCAGTTATATCAGTATACATAATTTTTCCTTTTGATTAATAGAAAAGGCTAGCATAAATTTGGTATGTCGTATGTTTGAACTTCATACATGCACAACTGTCTCAAATCCCAAGTTGAGGCATATTTTGATAAGGAAAAGTCTACTTGTAAATAATTTTTGTATAGAACCCCATGCGAGGGTGTGGACACCCATATGTACAAAAAATTATGTACCTCTAGCAAAGCCCTTCTGATGAATTACAAGTCAAGTGCATTAATAGAAGAAAAGTATTTCAATGTCTCACCTTCCAGATATGATTGCAGTCAGGGCTGTGGTGCCAGAGGATATGTCGAGGGAACTATCATCAGCAAATGCATAATCAGCTTTCAGAAACGCATTCTTAATTGCTTTTTCTATACAAGCAGGGAAACACGAATCTTCAACTATAAGCTTGAGAATGTTATTCCTAACGAATGATGCTGCATCCGTACCTCCATGACCATCAAACACCTGCCAATATTGTGTCACTTAATGAAAAGTGGGGTGGAGACAACTAAGGAAACATTGAGAGCCAGAAGCAAGATAGAAATATTCATGAGCTTTTATGAATGTTCAATTAACTTAAAAGAAACCATGTTTCTGGAAAGTCGGTGGAATAATAAAAACCTAAATGGATATTTTCAGGTAATCCCAATTCTTAATCTGCTGTAAGGTCATAACAATATCATATGATGCACAAGTGCAACAACTGTGAGGTTTCCAAAACACACACACAATCTTCATTGTTTGTGAACCAGATAATTATGTCTTCCAGAAACAGTGTCTTGCAACTACATGCCACAACTACCCAGGTAAAAGCACTGGTTAAACAATTAGGTCAGCTAATAGGGATACAGTAATCCATGAATAGGCGAGATATGCCCATCTCTTCAACAGAACAAAGCCGTAATAGCATGATTTATTTATTAAATTGTACTGTGCGTGCCACACATTAGTAGGATTCAACTTACACACCCCGTAGAAAGCTCCAAGAGAAGGAAAACCTGCAATCTCGCCTAAATGTTGAGGCAAATTATCTATGCATATGTGGTCGTCCTCCATGTATGGCTTTGGTCCTTTCTCAGCACAACTTCCAGATCGAAAAACTGGTATGAAGCTTGAATTTACATCTGAAGGTGACTTGATTTCAATCACCCCAAGATCATAATCCTAGCCAATATGAGTTGAAACATTAGCTACGACATTAGTAGTATATATAAACTCCAATTCCATACAAGAATCCAAAAAACAAAAATAACATAGAGAGAACTTGATTTCTTGCGACGTTTTGAAGTTTGAACGCTCAGAATGTTCCAAAGACTGCTATCCTTTATACACAGTTGATAGCCAGTCATGGTGCATTTAAAACAGACTCAACAAGTACTCAAACAGAACATGCCAACATTGCAAGAAACCCAAATAGAACAAGATAAAGTTTAGTGGGTGATTAAGTCTATGACAATTTACATAAACAGCTGGCATCCTTAATTAAACAAATATGCGACTGAAAGCAGCTATTGCTAAAATGGAAAACTTTGCTTTTGAAAAAAATGAATTTCAAGAATGGAGGATCATAGAAGTAATGAACATGTGCACAATCACGTGATTATTCACCTGGATCTGCAATTATTTCATGTATCATTGTAACATATTCTTTTAGCATTCATAAGTGGAATACACACTAAAAGAGACATCCTATAATATACCTTTGCAACTAAATATTTTAACTTCAATTGAATCACTTCATAATTTAAGATCAAGTGTTGCAACTCACATATTATACTAAAGTAAGAACTCGGATCGACGAATATGAAACAGCAATAAAAAAAACTATATACTAGTAAACAGGCAGCTTCAAACTTGATTAATGGAACGAGACAAGATTGAAACTTGATTAGTGAAAAGAGTTCACTTACCAAATTAGAGGGTGAGACTAGTGTTGTAGTGTTCATAGAATGCCGTGCAACAGATAGATTCCTCGGAGGTTTACCATTCGAGGATTTCCTCAAATCATCTATACCATCTTTCTCAGCAGCAGCCACATTATCATCACTATTATAACCACCTTCTACGGTAGTAAACAGAGGCGAAAAATCAGTCCCGGCAGCCATGTTGCTTCCGAAAACATCAACTTATGTTCCTTACACAATATAAATGACTAAAAAGATCCCTGTCTGATAAAAATGCAAGTACACCAGATAAAGTTCGAACCCTCAAACCTCAGATTTCCCAATCCCCACGTGTGTTGTAACTCGAATGAGTAAACTAAAAGAAGCTCCAAGAGAATTGCCAAAGGAACCTTAATATTAATCAAGTTCAGTTCTTTGCAGAGGCTAAAGATACAAGCTAAATAAAAAAAAGACCCACAAATCTTGTATTACGACACTATGAAAATCCAATCAACTTCAAGATCAGACCTTTCAAATATATCCAAAACCTAGATCAGAATTCAAAAATTTCACCAAATTCTACCAATTCGTAGAAGAGAATTCCCCTAAAAAAAATAACTTACTTAAGCTACAGGAATTTGATCAAACCAACTCCAGGAACCAAAAAAATAAACTCTTAATAAAAAATCTAACAAACCACAGAATTATAAAAATCCAATCAACAAAAATAAAATATAAATTATAATATTAACCAAAAAATATACAGATAATTCTCATAGATTTCTTTTTCCCTCTTTCTGTTGCTCTCCTCGGCCAGTCTAGAAATCCCAGAAACAAAAAAGGAGAACAATATAATTTGAGAAGAAGATAAAATGAAGAAGTTCAGAAATAAAAAATAAAGGTGGATGCTTTTGTTTTTTCAATGCAGTTGGTGACCGGCGACTACAGGTAACCAGCACTATTTTTGCAACGTGGCGTAAAATGATTAGTTAATGTGTGAGTAACCGGATACTCTGGCAAGTGCATCCCAACCGTTGGATCGTGTAATTCGGCAATGGACGGTTGATAGATAGCGGAACCGGTTTGCTTTATCTATTGGGGATGGGGAGGTCCGTTGACGGCGGTTGGGACAATACGATAGATTCTAGATAGACACGTGGCATGTTTTCATTGGATAATGGTGGCTTCCCTTTTTTTTTTTTTTTTTGTGGCTAAGGTAAAGCAGTTTTCTCGACTTTTTTCCTCACTCACTGAAAGTTGGAGAAATTTGAGAATAATTGAGAAGAGTTTCTCCATCAGAATGGTGGGCTTGATATGGGCCGTTGGATTCGAAATTGGATGGTGATGAAAGAGTCAAGAAATATAAAGAAACCAGTATGCCCATTGGCCAGTGCATCAAAAACTTCTAATATTCTTGTAATTTACAAAAATGCTAAACAAACAGGGATTAAAAATAGGCCCAAAAAATGATAATTTGGTAGCTTGTGATTGAGTGTTTTTATGTGTCTTTTTCTCAATTTCCAATGAAAACCTGTCAAGTGAAAAAAAATCGTCATTGACTCTGATTGCATAGTATGATTGTATAATTTATAGGAGTCTCAGGAGAGCTAGATTTGTAATCTTAGATTATACAAAATGATTGGACAATTGAAAATAGAATATTTGGCACAACACGTATGTAATTTTATTTTATTTTTCATTGTCCACATCATCTCTATCATTTCACTTTTGACATTTGGACCTCAGATCACCTTTCATCGTGCAAAATGTCCTTGTCACCTGATTCCATCCATTTGATGAAGTGTACTCAGACGTTTTTGGTAAGGACATTTTCGTCCATTAGTGAAAGACGCAATGCAAATGTTAGCCCTAGAATACACAAGATCTAAGATAAGAATTGTGGAAATCAGAACAAAGATGTGTTTGTGCTTGATAGTTGCTATGTCATTACTTCACCGATCTCCTGGCATATTAATGTTATGGACTATGGTGGTAACATTTACAAAAAGAGGTCTACCTTAGGCTTAAGACATATTCACCATCCATTTCCCTCCATTACAAGTCCATAGTCATAGGTCTCAACCCTTGGGTTTCACCTTTCTACAACAAAATGCCAAGAAGACCAAAAAAGAATATGAAAAAATGAACTGAAAATAAGATGAAAGTGTAGTGAAACAAAAGGACTTGCAATAGTGCACTACCACTTGTTGGTCTCCACCCTCTGATTCCACAATTTTACACCCAAAAAAATAAAAAACGAGGCAAATGAATAGCAACAACAAGCGAAAATTAAGAAATGCGTGAAAATCTTCAAGTAATGCTACATCATCAACAACCAATTTAAGGGAAGGTAGAAACAGACTGACAATGAGGTGCATAAAATGTGGTGCAGAAGGGAACAACAAAAGGACTGTTGGGAAAAATGGATGATTTGTATGTAGATATTTATTAATTAACATAATCAATTAAATAACATAAACGTAATTCAACAATAATATAAACATAAGAAGAGAAGAGTTAGAAATGCAAGTCTTAGGGAGTCACGTCAAGGATACTATCTTAAAGCCGTATTGCCTCTCCTTTATGCAGGTACCTAGGGATGTAAACGAGCTGGGCCGAGCCGGCTCGCGAGCCTAAAGTTTCGGCTCGGGCTCGGCCCAGTTAAAATGACCGAGCTTTTTTGCAGGCTCGAGCCTTTTGCTCGGCCAAAAAAAATAGGCTAGCTCGGGCTTTTTACGGGCCGAGCCGGGCGGCTCGTTTTCTCCACTTTTTTATTTATTTATTTATAATATTAGTCTTCTAATCTGCTGCCTTTTAAGGCTTCATTTGATTTTTTTTTTTAATCTTGCGAGCTCACGGGCCGGCTCGGGCAAAGCCCGTGTCCCCAAAATGGGGCTCGGCCCGAGCCTAGGCTCGGGTCTACCGAACCTCGAGCCGAGCCACGGCGGGCCCGATTCGGCGGGCCCGATTGCCATCTCTACAGGTACCTTTGGTATTACACGGCTCTAAGATAAAATCCATGTGGCTTACAGTCGAGTTTCCTTCAATGAATATGACCATAGAAAGCTAAGTGAATGAATATTTATCGAGTTGCCAAAAGTATAAAAATATAGTATGAATTGTATAAAATATAATCCTTCAACTTGTCCTTTCATAGTTCTATCTTTCAATGAAATATCACCTTATTTTATAGGTGAATATCAACCCCCACAATTAAACCATAAAAATATAAGTTACCATATGAATTATGATGTTTTTAACTTGTTTTAGAACTTTAAAAAAAAAAATCAAGTGGTTTTAATATTGAAAGGTTAAAACATTATTTTATATTACAACAATTCCCCACAAGTTTTAAATTTTGAAAATAGATAAATATTTATATAGTATAATAGTGGCAACCTAATACTGTACAATATGTGTACGTGTCTTCTGGACTTGAACCTCGCTTAGAGATAACAATTCCCATCTGAGGGAGCCATAATGGATTAGGCCTTGAACTAAGTCCATTTGGCCATCAAGTGGTTTTAATATTGAAAGGTTAAAACATTATTTTATATTACAACAATTCCCCACAAGTTTTAAATTTTGAAAATAGATAAATATTTATATAGTATAATAGTGGCAACATAATACTGTACAATATGTGTACGTGTCTTTTGGACTTGAACCTCGCTTAGAGATAACAATTCCCATCTGAGGGAGCCATAATGGATTAGGCCTTGAACTAAGTCCATTTGGCCAAATTTTAATTGTTTCACATATAGTATCGATTTAGACTTTAGACCATAGCGAGTAGTGCTGTTATTGGCCACGTGATCTCAGTGGCGGATTTAGACCATGGCCAGCCAGGATGGCCGTCGGAGAGAAATTTTTTTGCTGATAATAAATAGATTTCTTAGATTATATATTTGACAATTCATATTAACAACAAATATCTCTGACAGCTCAACTAGCTAGGCCTTTCACTATTGAATTGGAGGTTCTGTGTTCGAAACTTTTCAAGAGCAATAATATTTTTTATAATTTTCATATTTCAACAATTTTTACCAAAACAAATGTAAGGAAGGTGATTCGAACATGCTACCTTCCTTAAGCACATTAACTACTTTACCATCATGACACTTGTTGATTTTTAGCACATAACGTAACAAAATAATATATGTTCAATTTTATTGGTTTAATGTAAATATAAATATTTTAACGGTGCTTTGTCCCTCTTCTTGATTTTCTTTTTCTTTTATTTTCTTTTTCCCCCTAATCAATTGATTTGAGAGTTTGGTTAATTAATGGTAGATGAATTTGTAGGAAAATTGACCTTAATGTTATAAGGAATTTTGTCAACAAAACTTATTTAATTAATAAAAGGTTCAACTTTTCGTTAATAAAAAATCGATTGTGAAAAAGTGGAATCATACAAAGCACATAAAATCGATATAAGCACATAAATAATTTCAATTTTGTAAATATAATAATGCTTATTTAATTAACTTTAATTGTAAACTGAATATTGACATTTTGTTAATATATATTGCCTATTTAATTGAAAATTCAATTAGGGCATTTTGCAGATTATGAAACGAATTTTCATTCAAAATGAAAGTTCGTACCTAGTTCTAGTTCGAATGGTGTATCTAGTTCTTCTAATTCTAATTCATACATTTTTTTGAATATTATTTAATTAAATATTAATAAACAATCTCGCTATCATGGACGTTAGCCGTTGATAGTAAGCTTTCAACGCTCGCGGTCCATCAAAGCTGAACTCGATCCCTGGATTCGCCCCTTTGCATTCTAATCTTGATTCTAGTAAGAATATCTAGGGAATAGCCTAATCCCATAGCCATACCTCATGACAACTATTACATAGGCGAGCCCTCCAACGGTGCGTGTAACCAAGACCTCGCAAGAATTCTTGCCTCAATACTCATTTAGGGTTAAACCCTTCCTAACATCATATTATTATTAACACTATATCACCATAGGTATGAGCACAAATAAAATAATGCTATTACAAGTCACGTGGTACGGGTTGTTTTTGCCATATTGAATCTTTTTCATGGGATCTCCAATGACAAAAGTTGGGTTACTCTTGAAGGTGATTCCCTTGGGGCTTAAACCCATCCTCTTTGATTATTTATTATATCCATTACGGACTATAGTTTATTTTATATCTCTCTTGGACAATAATTTGGTACCATCAATTTACAAAGCTCTTATTCTTTGCTTGCACTTTTATGCATCTACAAAATCTTTTAAGAAATTTTCAAAATATAATTAGATAAATACATGAAAATTTTTAATATTGACTTTAGTAACACATTTGGGCATGTGCATCAATTGAGCTCTTGTATTTCACCTGCAAATCTACAATATAACTTTTTAATACATTTCAAGAGTCAGATTACAAATAATGATAACATATAAGATGTTTTTATTTGAAATTTTAAACACCCAAACATTTCAAAGATATTCAGCTTGTGGAACTCAATTTTCATGGCAAAAGTTTTTTCGAGATGTCCTTTATATGAGTATGATCTAAACATAGGAAATACATGCACTTTCTCCTGCCAAAATGTCCTACATACACATGCACTAGCAAAATATTGTTGCTAATCTTCTAACTTCTCCAAGATATGCTAGGAACTTAGGGATGTCCTGACAATTTTTCTTAAGTACACACTAGTACTAAGTACTAACAAAAGGATTTCTTTGGGATCCAATTGTAATTGTAAAGAAAATTGGTTAACTATATAATATGACCAACTGTTTAGATGACAACCATAGCCCTCATATTCAAGCCATCTATAATATGTTTTATTGAAATCCATCAACTGTTATGTTCTATTTTGACAGGATTAAACATGGTGCACATGTCTATTCTAGTAGT